TTGACTGTAATAATCTTGAAATGATTCTAAGAGGAACCATTTTTCTCTTGCAAACTTATACATTAAAAGTGTCCTAGATTTGTACGTTTTCCTGAAGGAGGGTTTTCGGCCCCCAAACTAGTATTGTGTTGCATCAAAGAATTGAAGAATTTGAAATCACTGCCAGAGAAGATGCGGATTTTCTTTCCCTCTCTCATATATCTGCAAATAATATGTTGCCCACAAGTGGAATCATTTTCAGAGGAGGTTTCCCATCAAATCTCCAACATCTTGATGTCTTGGAATGCCCGAAACTTGTAGCCTCTCGAATGGTGGCATCTGAGTAGGCTTACTTTGCTGCATCACTTAGGGATTGGAGATGCAGAGTCTCTTCCTGATATTGGACTACTTCCGCCTACTATTACTTATCTTTCGTTCCATAACTGCCCAAATCTTAGATCATTGGGACACAAAGGTCTTTGCCACTTATCCTCTTTGGAAGCATTAGGATTTCGTGGCTGCCCTAAACTCCAGCACTTTCCAAAGGAGGGTTTGCCCAATTCCCTTTGCATGCTACTGACTATGAGCTGTCCCTTGCTCAAAAAGAAGATCCAAAGACAAAATGGAAAATATTGGGCAATTATTTCTCACATCCTTTTTGTAGCATTGATGATGATGGAGTAGCATTTTTAAGCGACCTTCTCACTCATGAAGGCATCAGTTTTCCCACTAATGCTATCCATTCCGCATTCACTCGTTAGGTATGTATTCACTCCTTTTTTAAAGTTTCAAGTCATGAACATAATTTTCTTTCTTTTGCCTATGCGTTTAAGATTGAAAGATTTGCTAGATTATCTGAATTTCAAATCATAAAAACTCAGCTTTATTTGTTTGTTGCGCAAGTGCTGCACATGATGGTGGTTCCCAGCTTTATTTGTTGGAATTCTAAATCATAAATATATATATATATATATATATATCTCCTTATGTTTGCACTGACTTATTTATAGATTTGCTTGTTTATATGAAATTTTATTTTTGTAGATGTTAGATAGCAAAGGTGCATAAAATGAACATAATTTCTTTAACCAAGAACCTTCGTTACACTTCAAATTCTAATTAGGAATCATGAGTATTGTTTTGCTGTTGGCTGTTTTTTTCACTTCACATTGTTAAACATGGCCAATGCTCCGGGTACTTTTATTAGGTATCTTTTTTTTTTCATGTTTCTTTTTTCAAAATTTTGAACGTTGAGTAATGGAAGAAAATCTCAACTTGCTTTTGAAAGGTTCTTAAAAACTGAGAATTTTCAAAGGAAATAACTATCAATATAAAATGCTTGTTTCTATTTTTAGTATGAAGTTTTATGAGAAATTGAAGAGGAGAAAAGTGATTGCAACACTTTATTGCTTTTATCATTTGTCTTATAAAATAGGGTAAGGGGGGTCTCCACTTCCCTTCCCTCCACTTCTCATCTCGATCATAAGATTGAAATTTTAATGGTTTAGGTTTCATATTTATAAAATTATAAATAAAATGTTAAATTTTAAAAAGAAAGTAAAATAAAACTACTAAATTTAGCTAAATAATTCAAAAAATACTAAAAATTTTTTCTAAAACATGAAATCTAAACAGTTAAACTTTCATTCTTAATAGTTGCAATGAGAAGTAGATGGAAATAGATAGGAAGGGAAGTGAAGAGACCCTTTAACCACATGTGATGAATTAAAGATTCCTTTATGTTAACTAATAATGATATCAGATTAATTTGATAGTTTATGGTGTAGTAGATGAACCAACATGAAATTGATGAGCTGGACAAATGGACTACGTTTTGACTATTTTATATTCAAATCTTCCCTAGGGGCATCGATGTAATTAGCTTGGTCATGTGTGTGTGTTTGTATTCTGAAAGGCGAAAACTTAGCATCTAAAATGTGGGTGTTTATGTCAAATGATACTTACGGTGGCATTTCTATGGTCAATAGTGGCAGATTGACTTTTGCGATGAATGCAGATATGAATTTGATGCCGAAGTTGTCACCAAAGTTGCGTGATCTTCCTGTTAGGCCATGTTTTGGTGTAATGCTGGCCTTTGCAGAGCCTCTAACCTTAGTATGATAGCAGCTATACACCTCTGAAGTTATCATTAATAGTGAATGAAATTTGTATGGCTTGTTTGATTTCCTTATTCACTGCATGATTGGTTTTGGCTTGGCCATTTTCTATTTACTTTTGTATACGTGGCTTGCTATCGAAACTGAAAATTGAACTTGGTAGGGAAGACGGGACCTGTCCGTGTAATTATTGTAGTTAATGATACTAAAACAAAATAATGGCTTGACTGGGTCTTTTATATGTATACTAAAACATAGTCTTCTGTGAAACAAATTCAATTGATGGTTCAAATTTTTCAGATACCCTTCAAAGGCTTCTTCATTGAGAATTCTAGCACTTTAAGGTGGGCTCATTGCGAGAGCAGCAAGCCAGGCCGTTCTACTCATAGGTATTTGTTTAATCTTCCATCATTTTCCATTAATCTATAACTTATTGATTGCCAGTGGCATGTTTACTTTACAGTGAAAGGTGGGTTCTTCATTCAACAGAAGAATATGCAGAGAACATAATTGCTCAAACTGGACTCAAGAAGCAATCAGACACAACACTGAAAAAAGTGGCTAATGAGCTTTTACAAGAATCTCAAAGCACATGACTCGACATATCTCAACCCCCTTTAAGAAAGTCCATAGATGGTAGTATGTAAATAGGAGTCCTGAGTGTACTGCTAATTCTTACAACTTGGACATATGCGTCACATATCTAATATTTGGTAGGCTTGGACTGGAGTGTCTTAAGAAAAGAATCGTGAAAAGGGCATAATTGGATTGAGGAGAATGGGAGAGAAAATTTGATTTAAATATTTTCCCAACTTCAAATCTAACTCAAATATGACTTTTTCCTTCATTCTTCTTGATTCAAGCATACCATTAAGTCGATACTTGTACAAGTTCAAATCAACATAACATTTTTCTTACGAAATCCAGATCTAAAGCATATCCCTGTGGGAATTTGTACAGTTCTTGAGTATGTGATATAGCCGCTGGTTTTAAACAGACCTATAAAAGGAAAGTCAAGGGGACAACCAGGTCAGATAAATGAAACATTAGAATGGCGGTGGACTTAGTCTAACTTCAGGGCTACTTTTGTCCTTTTATTAATGCTGCCTATATTTTGACTCGGCTGTGTTTTTTTTTTTTGGGGGGGGGGATTGTAATTTTGGAGAGTTTTGACTTTAGAAGGGGACTGGTCTCTCGAACACTAGTGAGGACCTTGCTGTAGCTTGGTTGTTTATTTTATATTTTGATTTGTAAGCTGATTAGGGGATTAGGATTTTGAGCGGAACCAGCATTCGATTCTTATTTTGTAATCTGGTTCATATTTAGTACTGTATTAATAAAAATCTCAGGATTTCCCCTCACTTGCTTCGTTCGATTGTTATATTCTCTTGATTTATCAGCTTTTGTAGAATGGGCCCTATCAGTACATGTGTTGGAAAGATAGAGAATGGTAATAATTCATTTTTGAAGCCCATGGATTGGAAGCATGTAAAATGTGAAAAATTTTGATAACTTAAAGCTCACTTGTTAGTTATAAAAACATTATATAAAGAATCCATGGAATGAACTTACTGCATTTTAAATTCTTGCATTGTGAAATCCCTATGAAAAAGTCCTGAGGGCATTATGCAAATAGAGACTGATTCGCTTTTCTTTTCTTTGACAGGCTCTTATATCGTGTCCACTGAACATGAGAGACTCTTCTCCTCATGTTGTCCAATTGCTAAGGAAGGCCACCACTTTTTCCCTTTTAACATCAGAAGCAAGGCAGCACATCCAACTGCTCAATGTTCATTCATAAGTACAACTCCCATGAAATTGATTGCCAAGAAGGTGGTGTGCTTTTAGTGCTGCTCAAAACCTATCTTCCTCACATTCTGAGATTCTGTTAGTCTTTTAAAAGTTGAGTTTTTTAGCAGATATTGTAAGACAATAATTTCCCTTCTTTCTTTAGTAAAATTCTAGCTGTTTGGGGTTGCACTAGGATGTAATGGCATCACTGCTGTAGATAGTTTGCTGGTGTCATGGTTACGGATTGTAAAAACTTGATTCCCTTCTTCATTAAACGGTGGTTACTTACCGTGGATAGAGATTCTCTTGTTTTATACTTGAGAAATGAATATAAGACTTTGAAATTTGTGTCCAAATTTTTTATGGTGAGTGATTTTCTTACCTCATTAAGCAGTTTTCTTGTTTAAATCCTTTGTCAGAAGAACTTTATTTGGAAAACAATATTTAATCGATTTCAACTTCGCTGAGAAACTCTGATAGAAGTGCGATATTCACAGCATTCAACTTTGTATATAGACATGCGATTCTAGCAGAATTCTTGAAGACTATGGTATGAATAAACCAAGTGATTTATTCAAAGTAGAGTAAGTAGTTGTTTTAAACCATTTAGCTTTAAGAAACTTCACCCACCATCCGCCTAAATTCTCATTCAACTAAGTCAACCGATGGGTAAAAATCTATACTAGCATTTACTGATTCTGGTTTACGCCATGACTGTGAGAATAATATTGTATTGTATTTGGGTATGCATTCCTCCTTGTTAGGAGCATTATCATACTTTCTTGGGAACAAGATGGGGGAGTTGTTAAACTTTGAAAAGTTTAAAAGGAAATAACAGTTTTGACAATGTGTAAGATGGAGACTTCAACTTATTTTATTTTCTGTGAAGTGATAAAATTCCAACATAAGCCCCCAAAAAAAAAAAAATCAGATTTTGATTATTAGGAGTTTTCTGTTCTATTGTCCTTTTCCCATCTCATGATAGTCCTAGTGGATTTTAAAAAATTTTTTGTTATAATTAGGAATTTACTTGGGACCACAATGGCCTCCTTTTTTGAAAGTAATAATTAGGCGCTCTTTATTGTTTGCTTTTGGTTCGTAGTTTAAGATATCCAAATAAGAACAAGCCTTATTGGACCTGAATGGCTTGTCTAACTACCCTTCATTGAAATCTTTTTTCTTTTTTCCCCCCACAATGACTTTTTTTGCTTTGAAAATGAATTACAATTGCACTACTTCTTAACCACAATATCTTCATATTTGACGTTTATTTAATATAAGAAATATCAAATATTCATTTCATTAATATAAAATAAAACATTTTTTGCCAACCAAATAAAAAAATTTAATAACACATTTCAGTAAAATTTTCACTTAAAATTTTCAAATCACACATTTTAAATTAAAGACTAGTATGACAGTATTTAACTGCAAAGTCATAATTTCAATTTGTTGATTAAATTTATTGAGTCAACATTTTTTAAACAAAACTAATCATGTTAATATTAAGGAATTGAAAAATTATTTTTAAAAAAATTTAAGAAATTAAACTGAAACTTGATACAAATATAGATAACCAAACTTATATGTTCGCATGAAAATATATAATTTTAGCTTATAAGATGTTATGACTCTCCATTGAGTTGTCTATCACAATGCATGGTGGTTTAGGCGTTGAGCACAATAATAATTAATAAATAGTCTAAACACATAATGTCAACGAAATTAAAAAATGAAATGAATAAATTTGGTAATTGGATGTTCCTTTTTTTTTTTTTTTTTGGTTGCAAGAAGTGAGATGTTGGAACTGGAACTAAAAGTCTTCATTTTGATCGATAGTTTGCCGCAGTCTAAACGCAATCTTCATTTTGATCGATTTTTTTCCACACAATAAAGTCTTCGTTTTGACCTTGAGCACAAAAATAATTAGTACACAGTCTAAATGCACAAAGTCATGAATTTGATTAACCAACTAATCACTGTATAGTCCTGCGGTACTTAATGTGAATCCTAATTAACTAATTACAGTAGATTAGGGTTGTTAATTAAATTAATTAATATGATTTTTTTTCAAAATACTTTAAGAATCTTCCTTAATTTCTCCTTCCTTTCCTACTTGATTATTATTGGGAAGACATTAACAAGATTAATTTAGTAAAAAGATTGATAAACTTGTGAAATAAGTCTTACATATAAGATCAGCATCAACTCTTCAATTTGTATCTACATTAAAGACCGGAGGAGTAATATTTATTCGAAATGACATTATACATAAGTTTAAAATATTATAATTTATTTTTCAAGCAAGAGGATCTGTGTAACTCTTTTTTTCCCAAAAAATAAATATTTACGAATAATTCACGGAAAGATATATCAAATTGAATCATAATGTTTTTATACATAAATTCATATATAAAAATAATGAGTAAAACTCCTATAAGCAGTTAGGGGAGCACATGAACAGGCCACGACCTTGGTTGATATCTACATCGAAAGATGAGTTGCAACCCTGTTCCCTGACCTGTCCACGACAATGTCGCAAGTCTTTGAAATTAAACTCACCTAGAATTTTTAAAGTGAAAAATAACACTTTTAAAAAAAAATTTATTTTCAGAACTACAATATCTCATATTTAACATTTATTTATATAAGAAGTAGAGTATCAACCACTCATTTCATCAATAAAAAGAAAATAAAGGTTAATATTCTTTTTAATCTTCAATGAAGTCAAAGTTCAAGATTAAAAGCTGTATTAGTTTTTGTTTACATAAATGTTTATAATAAAAATATATAATTTCAGCGCATGAAAGACGCGGAATCTCCATTGAATCGTAAAGCACAAGGCACGGTCGCTTTGAAGTCTGTGCTGTCATGGATATTTTCTTGCGTGGTTGACGGGATGAAGATGATAATGGAATGACTAATACGTAGTCCAAAACACTTCGTAATGTCAAAGAAATACAGTAATGGAATGAACTGGGAACTCGAAAGTCTTCATTTTGATCGATGTTTTCTAGCGTGGTTGATGGGATGATAAAAACTGAATGCATTTTGCCATTTTCTAGCCACTCACAAAACCTACAAAGTCACACACTCCTTGCACTGCAATAACCTTTCCCACTTTCGCATTTTGATCACGTTCTTTTTTGTTTTGCATTTGCACAAGCACAACATCCTCATCTTGGCGGGGGCTTTGGTTGGCGGTGCTTTTCTTTCTGCTTTTCTTCAGGTGGCTTTTGATAGGCTGGCTTCTCGTGATGTTCTCTGGACTTCTTCAACAAATGAAAACTGAACAGAAATTGCTCAATAAGTAGACTACAAACGAAGTCTTGTAATTAAGACTGGATATAGTAGTTCATAGTATAAACGCACAATGTCATGAATTTGATTAACCAACTAATCACTCTGTAGTCCTCTGATTCTTAATATAAGATCTAATTAATTAATTTAAGTAGATTAAGAATGTTAGTTAAATTAGTTAATATAATATATTTTTCTAAAATACCCTAAGCATCTCCTTTAATTTCCCTCCTTCTTTTCCTACTTGATTATTATTGGGAGAAAATTAATAGAATTAATTTAATAAAAAATTGAGAAACTTGTGAAATAAGTCTTACATATAAGACTAGCATCAACTCTCTAATTAGGATTGAGGAAAATGGGAGAGAAAATTTGATTTAAATATTTTTCCCAACTTCAAATCTAACTCAAATCTTTCTTTCTTCTTGACTCAAGCATACCATTAAGTCGATATTTGTACAAGCTTAAATCAACATAACATTTTTCTTACAAAATCCAGATCTGAAGCATATCCCTATTGGAATTTGTGCAGTTCTTGAGTATGTGTGTTGGAAAGATAGAGGATGGTAATAATTTATTTTTGAAGACTGTATTCACTTGTTAGTTATAAAAACATTATATAAAGAATCCATGGAATGAACTTGCTGCATTTTAAATTCCTTGCATTGTGAAATCCCTATGAAAAAGTCCTGAGGGCATTATGCAAACTCAGACTGATTCGCTTTTCTCTTTGACAGGCTCTTATATTATGTCCACTGAACATGAGAGACTCGTCTCCTCATATTGTCCAGTTGCTAAGGAAGGTCACCACTTTTTCCCTTTTACTCATAACATCCGGAGCGAGATAGCACATCCAACTGCTGAATGTTCATTCGTAAGTACAACTCTGATGAAATTGATTGCCAAGAAAGAGGTGTGCTTTCAGTGCTTCTCAAAGCCTATCTTCTTCTTTATTCCAAAAAAAAATAGCCTATATTCTTCACATCCTGAGTTTCTGTCTGTCTTTTAAAAGTTGAGTTTTTTAGTAGATATTGTGAGACAATAACTTCGCTTCTTTCTTGAGTGAAATTCTAGCTGTTTGGAGTTGCAGTAGGATGTAATGGCATCGCTGCTATAGATAGTTTATTGGTGTCATGGTTACAGATTGTAAAAACTTGATTCCCTTCTTCATTAAACTGTGGTTACTTACCATGGATAGATATTCTCTTATTTTATGCTTGAGAAGTGAATATAAGAATCTGAAATTTGTGTCCAAATTTTTACGTGGTGGGTGATTTTCTTACCTCATTAAGCAGTTTTCTTGTTTAATTCTTTGACAGAAGAACTTTATTTCGAAAACAATATCTTATTGATTTCAACTTCGCAGAGAAACTCTGATAGAAATGAGATATTCACAGCATTCAACTATGTATATAGACATACGATTCTAGCTGAATTCTTCAAGCCTATGGTATTAATAAACGAAGTGATTCACTCAAAGTAGAGTAAGTAGTTGTTTTAAACGACTTACCTTTGGGAAACTTCAACCAGAATTTACCTAAATTCTCATTCAACTAAGTCAACCGATGGGTACGTGTCTATACTAGCATTTACTGATTCTGGTTTGTGGCCATGACTGTGAGAATTTCATTGCATTATATTTGGGTATGAATTCCTCCTTATTAGGAGCATTGTCAGGCTTCCTTGGAAACAAGAAGGGGGAGTTGTTAAACTTTGAAAAGGGTAAAATGAAATAGCAGTTTTGACAATGCGTGAGATGGAGACTTCAACTTATTTTATTTTCTGTGAAATGATAAAATTCTAATATAAGCCCTGAAAAGAAAAAAACAGAGATTTTGATTATTAAGTTTTCTGTTCTATTGCCTTGTCCCATCTCATGAAAGTCCTAGTGGATTTCAACAAAATGTTTGTCATAACTAGGAATTTATTTGAGACCACAATGGCCTCCTCATTTGAAAGTAATAATTAGGCGCTCTTCATTGTTTGCTCTTGGTTCATAGTTTAAGATATCCAAATAGGAACAAGCCTCATTGGACCTGAATGACTTGTCTGACTACCCTTCATTGAAATCTTTTTTCTTTTTCCCCCCACAATGACTTGTCTTGCTTGGAAAATGAATTACAATTGCACTACTTCTTCACCACAATATCTTCATATTTGACATTTATTTAATATAAGAAATATCAAATATTCATTTCATTAGTATAAAATAAAACATTTTTGCCAACCAAAAAAAAATTTAATAACATATTTCAGTAAAATTTTAACTTAAAATTTTCAAATCACACATTTTAAATTAAAGATTAGTATGACAGTATTTAATTGCAAAGTCATAATTTCAATTTGTTGATTAAATTTATTGAGTCAACATTTTTTTTTAACAAACTAATCATGTTAATATTAAGGAATTGAAAAAATATTTGTAAAAAAATTTTAAGAAATTAAACGGAAACTTGATACAAATACAGATAACCAAACTTACATTTTCCCATGAAAATACATAATTTTAGCTTATAAGATGTTATGAATCTCCATTGTGTTGTCCATCACAATGCACGGTGGTTTAGGCCTTGAGCACATTAATAATTAATACCCAGTCTAAACACATAATGTTGAAAAATTAAACAATGAAATGAATAAAATTGGTAATCAGATGTTCCCTTTTTCTTTTGCTACCAGAAGGACGATGTTAGAATTGAAACTTAAAAGTCTTCATTTTGATTGATATTTCGTCGCAGTCTAAATATAGTCTTTATTTTGATCCATTTTTTCCTCCATAAAGTCTTCGTTTTGACCTTCAGCACAAAAATAATTAGTACACAGTATAAACGGACAATGTCATGAATTTGATTAACCAACTAATCACTCTATAGTCCTCTGATTCTTAATATAAGATCTAATTAACTAATTTGAGTAGATTAAGATGTTAGTTAAATTAGTTAATATAACATGTTTTTCTAAAATATCCTAAGCATCTCCCTTAATTTCCTCCCTTTCTTTCCTACTTAATTATTGTTTGGGGGACATTAATAGGATTAGTTTAATAAAAAGTTGATAAACTTATGAAATAAGTCTTACATATAATACCAGCATCAACTCTTCAATTATGTCTTACATTAAGGACTGGAAGAATAATATTTATTCAAAGTGACATTATACATACGTTAAAAATATTAAATTTATTTTGAAGCAAGCGAGATCACATACCTGTGTAACTCTTCTTCTTCTTTTTTTAAATAAATATTTATGAATAATTTATGGAAAGATATATCAAATTGAATCATAATGTTTTTATACATAAATTCATAGATAAAAGTAACATGTAACACTCTTATGGACAGTTAGGGTTGTACATGGATAAGCCAGGGCTTTGTCCAATACCTAACTTGGAGGATAAGTTGCAGCCCTCTTTCCTAACCTTGCCCATAACAACGTAGTGAATTTTCATAATTCAACTTACCTCAAATTTTTTTGAGTGAAAAATTACACTCTTATGAAAAATACATATTTTCTATTTTAACTATTTATAATCCTTTTTTTTATTTGTGAAAAAAAACAAAAGACTCACACACTAATATCTCTTGCTATAAAAAATGAATCACAATTCCACTATTTCTTAACCACATTTCCACGATGCACAGTTGCCTTGACCTTGAGAACAATAATAATTAATACACAGTCTAAACACACTTCAAAATGTCAAGGAAATAAATAATGGAACGACTTTCGTAGTTAGATTTTTAATTCTCTTGACCTGAAGTTAGATGTTAGAACTGGGAACTTGAAAGTCTTCATTTTGATCCATATTTTCTAGCGTGGCTGACGGTTATGGCTGAAAGCCGACTGCATTTTCTCGCCACACTCACCAAACCCACAAAGTCACAAATTCCTTGCATTGCAATAGCCTTTCCAACTACTGCATTTTCATCTTGTTCTTTTCGTTTTGCATTTGCACAAGCTCAACATCTTCATCTATGGCGGGAGCTTTCGTCGGCGGTGCTTTTCTTTCTGCTTTTCTTCAGGTGGCTTTCGATCGGCTGGCTTCTCGGGAATTTCTGGACTTCTTCAAAAAACAAAAATTGAACCAGACGTTGCTCAATAGGTTGAAGATCGTACTGTTATCCATCAATGCTGTGGTTGACGATGCAGAGCAAAAGCAGATCACTAATCTGAAGGTGAAGGACTGGATTGATTTGGTTAAAGATGCCGTGTTCGATGCTGAGGATGTCTTGGATGAGATTGATTATGAAATGTGCAAGCGCAAGCTGGAAGCTGAACAAAAGAGTCGAAACAGTGCTATGGGCAAGGTACGAAACTTCTTTAGCGCTTCTGTTAGTTCATTTGAGAAGGAAATTGAATACAGGATGAAAAACGTCCTTGAAAATCTGGAATGTCTTGCATCTCAAAGGGACATATTAAGATTGAATGAACGTACTAGTCGAGCTAGATTGGAAACTGCTATACCAGATAGATTGCCAACTACATCTTTAGTGGATGAAGCCGGAACGTATGGTAGAGATGATGACAGAGAAACCATCATTGAATGGCTTCTCTCAGAAAAGTATAACAACCAACTATCTGTGATTTCTATAGTGGGTATGGGTGGTCTGGGTAAAACTACTCTTGCCCAGCTCGTATATAATGATAGAAGGGTGATGGATGGATTCAACCTCAAAGTTTGGGTGTGTGTCTCGGATGAGTTTGATGTGTTGAGGGTAACAAAAACAGTTTATGAGGCAATCACTGGATCTAAGGATGATACCAATGATTTAAATATGCTTCAAATTAAATTGAAACAACAACTAACTCAAAAGAGATTTCTCCTTGTTTTAGATGACGTGTGGAATGAAAATTATATGCTATGGGAGGCCTTGCAATCACCATTTAATCATGGGGCTATAGGAAGCAAAATTCTTCTAACCACCCGCAATCAAAAAGTTGCTTCAACCATGCGTTCTGCTAATATACTTCAATTGAAGCCGTTATCGAAAGGAGATAGTTGGTCATTATTTAGTAGATATGCATTCCATGATGGAAATGTTCTTTGTGCAAACTCTGACCTTGAAGAAATTGGTAGAAAAATAAGTAAAAAATGCAAAGGACTGCCTTTGGCTTTGAAAGCCATTGGGAGTCTCTTATACACAGAATCATCTCATGAGCAATGGAATGAAATTTTGGAAAGTGAGATATGGGAGGAGAAAAGCGATAGCAAGATTCTCCCTGCTTTGAGATTGAGTTATTACTACCTCCCCTCTCATCTCAAAAGATGCTTTGCTTATTGTTCAATATTTCCTAAAGACTATGATTTTGATAAGGAGCATTTGATTCAGCTGTGGATGGCAGAAAATTTTCTAACATGTGCTCATCAAAGCAAAGATGGGAGAGAAGTAGGAGAACAATTCTTTCATGACCTATTATTGAGGTCACTTTTGAACGATCACCAGTGGATGACACTCGTTTCATCATGCATGATCTTATTAATGATATGGCAAAAGTTGAATATGGAAAGTTTTGCCATAGGTTGGAGTTAGATGATGTATGTAACACCTCACATAATTATATCAATATACTCGATAAAATATTTAATTTAAAAGTCCATACATATTTTTAATACTGCAAATAAGTCAAAATTTCAAAACATTTCTAACATAACTTAACAACATAAACTATTAAAGTCTTATAGTCATGGCAAATAAAAATATAACATAGCATGTGCTTGAGGAGCACAAAAGCCTTCACGGCTCACTCCATTGGTGCCTTCCCTTGATTCCTACTAGATCCTTCGCCTGAAAAATTGTTAATATAGGGGATGAGATCAAACGTCTCAGTAACTACTGAAATTCTAACCTATACAAGCAAATCATATATGATAAACCAAAAATCTGTTTATATGTGTGTATATAAATATATTAAAAATCACGGATTTGAGACATCCAATTCAATTTCATTTTTTTCCAACAATATACCAATATCATTTTTCTAATATATCCAAAAATAATGCAATATGCTGCCTCCCTTATATCACCGTCCACCCTTATACCGCTGACTGGAGCCATAGGCTAACACATAGTCCGATAGGAACTAATCCATTTTACTGAATTATTCCAAGCTCACCGATACAAGAGATATATCCGGCCAAAGATATAGAGCTCAAGCTCGGACTATGGCTCCCCTCCTTTGTGAATAGGGAGGTGTCACATGTCCCACAGCTCCAATGAATTCCCGGCCAAAGGAAAACATGGAAGAAGGGGCCCTGACAAGTGCCATCCACTGTGCACCGAGTGATGGCATACCACGTGGTAATTTTATATCCATGCAATCTCCTTCTATCCTTAGCCCAACAATGCATGTCAGATGCCAATAATGTTACATCATAAATACTTCCTCAAATATATTAAAAATAAGATAGCAATAAACTTATATACCATTTAATAGCAACTCATGATAATTTCATAGCATTAATATATTTAAATATTGATCATAATTATAGCAACAAATCTTAATAAAATCATGTAACATACCAAAACATTTATTTTACAAAAATCATAATATTATATTTCAGGAATATAATAATTAGTAAATCCACAATATAATCATACACAATTCACATGTACAAGAAAGAATTTTCAGAGTTACCTGGTACTCTTTAGCTTACAAATATTCACACAAAGATTACTCCAAAATCTCAAGTCTACAAAATTGCACATAAATATTTATTAATATAAACTCAAAACTACTCCAAAGCTACTCTAAAATTCTAAGACTACCCTCTAAACCAAAATTACATAAATATATTAACTCTCCCAAATCTAGGCATTTATAATAGATATTATTTTGAAAAATAATTTACATATAAGGCTATTTAAATTTAACAAAAGTATATATATATATTTTTAATTATAAACAAACTGTAGCTTTATTTAATTTCACAAAATTCTCAATTTATAATTTTTCAAGCCTTCAAAAATTATTTCAAAAATATATATTTAACTTATTCAATATTTAAACCGATTAAAACCTCAATAATATATTAAATAACTCAAATAAATTATTTAACTCAAATTTAATCGGTAAAAACATATTACAAGTCTAAATAACAAACTTTTCAACTAAAATCTTAGTTTAAAATTCTCAAAATAATCATTAAACAAAAATAAACCGATTAAAATTCCTTAATAATGGATCTTTAAATTTCTACGGTCATATATTGTCAAAACTCCATATTTACTCTATACTCAAACGGTAAAATTTTCTCTAAACATGATAATGAAACTAATAATATAAAGATATAAATATATAGGAAATATTCATAAAGAAAATATGATAACAAGAAGTAGTTTTGTGTACCTAAATGATCTCCAAAACCGTCAGGTACTCTGCAATTTAGCTCTCTCTCTCTTTTCCTCTCAGCTTCTCACTCTCTTCTCTCTTCCTTCACTCTCTTCCTCCTCCGTCTCCTCTCCCCCTCTTTTATCCTATTTTCCCTTCACCATCTAACTACCCCATCCCCATTTTCCTTCTTCAATTTAATGCCCCCCCTTATTTCTTCCTCCAGCGCCTCTTCTTTCTTTCTTCTTGACTAATTGCCCAGCTTTTCCACCGAAGTCGGTGGAAAGCTGGGTATATATATATATTTTTATAATATAATAATATTATATTATTTTAATTAATTGATTTTTTTTTTTTTTTTTTTTTTTTTTTAAAAGTATGTTACAATTCTTCCCACCTAAAAAGAATTTTGTCCCCAAAATTCGATACATGAAAGAGAAAGAAATTACTTCAAGCAACAGACACAATCACAATCATTATACTACACATCAACATAACACAAGTACAACAAGTACAAATACAACACAATTACCAAAACTAACACAACACTAACTCTTCCTAATCAAACAAGTTAGGAAAATCACGCCGCATTCGCTCTTCGGTTTCCCAGGTGGCATCTCCAGGAGACATTCCTTTCCAGAAAACCTTAAGTAACCGAATAGTTTTATTCCGAAGTTGCTTATCCTTAGCATCCAGAATGCGTTCAGGTTCGGCCTTGAAAGTAAGATTCTCTTGTAACTCGATCTCTTCAGGCTCGATCACATGAGATGGATCTGGGTGGTACTTCTTGAGTTGTGACACGTGGAATACATTATGAATATTGGCCAGTTGTGGAGGTAGGGCAATTCTGTAAGCCACTGGTCCTACTCTCTCCAAAATTTCATAAGGACCTATGAAACGGGGAGTGAGTTTCCTTGCTCGAATTGATCTTCCAATACCCGTCATCGGTGTGACTCTTAGAAATACATGGTCTCCTACCATGAATTCCAATGGTCGTCTTCTCCTATCTGCATAACTTTTCTGTCTGCTTTGGGCAGTAAGCAACTTCTGTTGTATCATCTTAATCTTCTGAGTTGTGTAATCCACCAGTTCTGGACCTATCAAACTTCTCTCGCTCAACTCTGTCCAACAAAGTGGAGATCTACACTTTCTTCCGTACAATGCTTCATAAGGCGCCATCTGAATACTTGAGTGGAAGCTATTATTGTAAGCAAACTCTGCTAAAGGAAGGTGATCATCCCAATTTCCTTTTAATTCAATTGCACAAGCTCTTAACATGTCCTCAAGAGTCTGGATAGTTCTCTCTGTTTGTCCATCAGTTTGGGGATGGTAGGCGGTGCTAAACCTCAACCGTGTTCCCATGGCGTCTTGCAACGATCTCCAAAACCTTGAAGTGAATCGTGGATCTCGATCTGATATAATACTCTTTGGTGTGCCATGTAATCGGACGATCTCCTTCACATAGATCTGTGCTAGCTTTTCCAAAGAGTAATTTGTCTTGATGGCTAGAAAATGAGCTGATTTAGTCAATCTGTCAACAATCACCCAAATAGCATCATGCCCTGATTGAGTTCTAGGAAGACCTGTGATAAAGTCCATGGAGATACTATCCCACTTCCATTCTGGAATCTCTAGATTTTGCAATAATCCTGGAGGCTTCTGGTGTTCAATCTTGACCTTTTGGCAAGTTAGACAACGAGAGACAAACTCAGTTACATCTTTCTTCATACTAGGCCACCACCAGTTTCGCTTTAGATCATGGTACATTTTGGTCACTCCAGGGTGGATAGTATATTTGCTTCTATGAGCTTCATCAAGTAGTAGCTTCTTTAACTCTTTATCATTGGGGAGGCACACTCTCGCTTTATATCTTAGTATCCCATCTTCACCAATATTAAACTTGGACTCTTTTCCTTGTTCAACTTCTTCCTAACCCCTAGTAGATACTCATCCTCCAATTGGGAAATTTTAATTTCCTTCCAAGTTGTACTCTCAATGGTTAGTGCTTTCATGGTAGCAACTAACCCAGACATTATATCAATAGGTGTACTTTGCACTCCTGCAGTAGGTTCCACTCCTTGACCATCAACTGGGCTGCATGGATAGATTTTCTACTTAAGGCATCTGCTACAATGTTTGCCTTCCCTGGATGATACTTTAGCTCATAATCATAATCCTTAAGAAACTCCATCCACCTTCTTTGTCTCATGTTAAGTTCTTTTTGATCAAACAAGTACTTCAAACTCTTATGGTCGCTAAAAATTTCAAATTGCGAACCATAGAGATAGTGCCTCCAAATCTTCAATGCAAATACGACTGCTGCCAATTCCAAGTCGTGAGTAGGGTAGTTTTCCTCATGCGGCCTCAATTGTCGAGAAGCATAAGCAACTACCTTACCATTTTGCATTAATACAGCCCCAAGACCCTTCTTAGAAGCATCAGTATACAAAGTAAAAGACTGTGTAGGGTCTGGAATCACAAGTACCGGTGCGGTGGTCAACTTGGTCTTTAAAGTCTGAAAGGCTGCTTCACATTTCTCAGTCCAAACAAACGGTTGGTCCTTTTTAGTTAGTCTGGTTAAGGGCATAGCTATCTGCGAAAAGCCTTTAATGAATCTCCTATAGTAGCCTGCCAGTCCAAGAAAGCTTCTAATTTCTGTGACACTTTGTGGTCTGTCCCATTTAACACTGCATCAATCTTACTAGGGTCCACTGATACACCTTCAGCTGATACAACATGACCCAAGAATTTTACTTCTTTGAGCCAAAACTCACACTTTGACAACTTTGCATAGAGTTTGTGTTCCCTTAACACTTGCAGCACAATTCTAAGATGCTGTTTATGCTCTTCCTCATCCTTAGAGTAAATAAGGATGTCATCAATAAAGATCACTACGAATTTATCCAAGTAAGGTCGGAAGATTCTGTTCATATAATCCATAAAGATAGCTGGAGCATTGGTTAACCCAAACGGCATAACAAGGAATTCATAGTGGCCATATCTTGTTCTAAATGCAGTTTTTGGGATGTCCTCAGATCTAACCCTTAATTGGTGATAACCTGACCTTAAGTCAATCTTAGAGAATATTGACGCTCCAGATAGCTGGTCAAGTAGATCATCGATCCTGGGCAAAGGGTACTTGTTCTTTATGGTTACCTTATTCAATTGGCGGTAATCAATGCACAGTCTCATGCTCCCATCCTTCTTCTTCACAAAGAGCACAGGCGAACCCCAAGGAGATACACTCGGCCTAATGAAGCCCTTTTCCAGCAACTCCTCGATCTGTTTCTTTAACTCTGCTAATTCTGATGGAGACATCCGATAAGGAGCTTTAGAGATAGGCTCGGTTCCAGGTACAAGATCAATGGAGAACTCCACTTCTCTCTCTGGAGGCAAACCTGTTATCTCCTCTGGAAACACATCCGGGAATTCACTCACCACTGCAATCTCCTCTACACCTTTTTCAGCTGTTGTGTGAATGGAGAAGAACACCATGTAGGCTTGACAACCCTTTCGAATACACTTTTCAACTTGCACTAAAGACAGCAGTTGTGGCCCACTAGAACTGGCGAAGGCGACCGGTAAAGAAATGGTCTTCCTTCTACAATCTAGGATGGCGTCATTTGCCGACAACCAATCCATTCCTACAATCAGGTCAATACCCCTTAAGGGTAGACAAACAAGGTCTATAGTGGATGTTCTACCCTCAAATTCAATCATGCAATTCAAGCATGCTTTAGAAGTTTTCACCGAGGCTCCCGCCGGTGTAGAGACAATCACATCACAAGGCAATTCATACATATGCATACTTAGACGAGGCACATAATCATTAGATATAAATGAGTGTGTTGCACCAGAATCAAATAAAGCTTGAGTTTCAAAGCCTTGGAGTTTGAGAATACCTTTAATCAAATTAGGAGAAGTGTCAGCTTCTTCTTGAGATAGTGCAAACACTCTTCCTGGGACTGCAGCTCTAGTATCATTGACACCTCGTGAGCCTTCCTCACAGAATCTGAAAATATGGCCCGGTTTCCCGCACTTGAAGCAGATAATGCAATTTCCTTGATGCACCTTCCCACACTTGGCACACCTTTGACTATTGGCGGTGCTAGTGATAGGAGCTGTAGAACCCCTGTAAGAGCTCTGTCCCCCACTGACCTGACTCCTCGGAGGTCCATTGAATTGACTCCTCAAGGGTCCACTGAATTGACTCCTCGAAGGTCCACCAGATTGATTCCTTGAGGGCTGATTAAACCGCTTCTTGGAGTTGTTGAAGCTGTAGTATTCTTCTTACTGATTCCTCCCGTAGGTCTCATGAATGGAACGGACCTTGTATAAGATTCTTTTCTCTTCTCAGCTTCTTCTTCTCTCATTCTTCTAGCAATGATTCGCAATTTGGTGCACATTTTTTCAAAATCATTAATCTCCAAGGGTGCTAGAGCTGTTCTTAATTCTGGCCTAGCCTTTTCCAGTAGCCTATCAGCCATCCATTTTGAGTCAGGTTGCGTCTGCGGATAAGTAATGTACTTAACTAACTCGAGAAATCGAGCAATGAAGTCTTCCTCATTTAAGTTCCCTTGCTTAAAGGCATAGAATTCTGCTTCTTGATCCGCTCTAAGGGCATTAGGAAAATAGTGTTGGAAGAATTTCTCCTTGAACCTTTCCCAAGTTATCTCTACACTTTCAAAAGGCTTGATGCTGTCCCACCACTTCCTTGCTGCCTTTTGTAACAGCTGCTCAGCAAGTTGCACTTTTTCCTGCGAGGTGCAGATTACTATTTTGAATATAGTCTCCAGCCTTTCGATCCATTCTTCAGCTTCAGATGGATTCAGCCTACCCTCAAACTTAGGAGGATCGAACTTCCTAAAACTTTCCCAGAGCAGTGTGATACGCGCAAGGTCTTGTTGAGAATGTGCACTGCTACCACCTTTCGATTCAGTGCCTCTAAGGGTATCACCTATTGACTGGTGGTCACTGGGAGCTTCATCATCAACTGGGCCATTTTCTTCTTGATGACTATCACGTTGACCTTTGATTGTCAACAGCTCGTCCTCTTGTCTCCTCACTCTTCGATCAATGCTCACAACATAATCTCGTAATTCTCGCAAAATAGCATCATTATCTTGACGAGAAGGAACATTTTGATGTGGAACTAGGGTAGAATTAGTCCTTCGAGTGTTCACCATCCTTCCTTCCTATGTAGAATAGCACAGGGACACTAGGTAAACTAAGCAGCGTTACTAAAATAAACTTTTAATCTAAAAACTAAAGGGAAGTGCACATGTTATTATATTTAAATTGCCATGACCCCTAGCCATTTTTTTTCAAACCTTTTGGGAAAATACTTTACATAAAAGTTAATTAAAAAGCCATGGAACGTTACAGCTCTGATACCAAAAATGTAACACCTCACATAATTATATCAATATACTCGATAAAATATTTAATTTAAAAGTCCATACATATTTTTAATACTGCAAATAAGTCAAAATTTCAAAACATTTCTAACATAACTTAACAACATAAACTATTAAAGTCTTATAGTCATGGCAAATAAAAATATAACATAGCATGTGCTTGAGGAGCACAAAAGCCTTCACGGCTCACTCCATTGGTGCCTTCCCTTGATTCCTACTAGATCCTTCGCCTGAAAAATTGTTAATATAGGGGATGAGATCAAACGTCTCAGTAACTACTGAAATTCTAACCTATACAAGCAAATCATATATGATAAACCAAAAATCTGTTTATATGTGTGTATATAAATATATTAAAAATCACGGATTTGAGACATCCAATTCAATTTCATTTTTTTCAACAATATACCAATATCATTTTTCTAATATATCCAAAAATAATGCAATATGCTGCCTCCCTTATATCACCGTCCACCCTTATACCGCTGACTGGAGCCATAGGCTAACACATAGTCCGATAGGAACTAATCCATTTTACTGAATTATTCCAAGCTCACCGATACAAGAGATATATCCGGCCAAAGATATAGAGCTCAAGCTCGGACTATGGCTCCCCTCCTTTGTGAATAGGGAGGTGTCACATGTCCCACAGCTCCAATGAATTCCCGGCCAAAGGAAAACATGGAAGAAGGGGCCCTGACAAGTGCCATCCACTGTGCACCGAGTGATGGCATACCACGTGGTAATTTTATATCCATGCAATCTCCTTCTATCCTTAGCCCAACAATGCATGTCAGATGCCAATAATGTTACATCATAAATACGTCCTCAAATATATTAAAAATAAGATAGCAATAAACTTATATACCATTTAATAGCAACTCATGATAATTTCATAGCTATAATATATTTAAATATTGATCATAATTACTAGCAACAAATCTTAATAAAATCATAACATACCAAAACATTTATTTTACAAAAATCATAATATTATATTTCAGGAATATAATAATTAGTAAATCCACAATATAATCATACACAATTCACATGTACAAGAAAGAATTTTCAGAGTTACCTGGTACTCTTTAGCTTACAAATATTCACACAAAGATTACTCCAAAATTCTCAAGTCTACAAAATTGCACATAAATATTTATTAATATAAACTCAAAACTACTCCAAAGCTATTCTAAAATTCTAAGACTACCCTCTAAACCAAAATTACATAAATATATTAACTCTCCCAAATCTAGGCATTTATAATAGATATTATTTTGAAAAATAATTTACATATAAGGCTATTTAAATTTAACAAAAGTATATATATATATTTTTAATTATAAACAAACTGTAGCTTTATTTAATTTCACAAAATTCTCAATTTATAATTTTTCAAGCCTTCAAAAATTATTTCAAAAATATATATTTAACTTATTCAATATTTAAACCGATTAAAACATCAATAATATATTAAATAACTCAAATAAATTATTTAACTCAAATTTAATCGGTAAAAACATATTACAAGTCTAAATAACAAACTTTTCAACTAAAATCTTAGTTTAAAATTCTCAAAATAATCATTAAACAAAAATAAACCGATTAAAATTCCTTAATAATGGATCTTTAAATTTCTACGGTCATATATTGTCAAAACTCCATATTTACTCTATACTCAAACGGTAAAATTTTCTCTAAACATGATAATGAAACTAATAATATAAAGATATAAATATATAGGAAATATTCATAAAGAAAATATGATAACAAGAAGTAGTTTTGTGTACCTAAATGATCTCCAAAACCGTCAGGTACTCTGCAATTTAGCTCTCTCTCTCTTTTCCTCTCAGCTTCTCACTCTCTTCTCTCTTCCTTCACTCTCTTCCTCCTCCGTCTCCTCTCCCCCTCTTTTATCCTATTTTCCCTTCACCATCTAACTACCCATCCCCCATTTTTCCTTCTTCAATTTAATGCCCACCCCTTATTTCTTCCTCCAGCGCCTCTTCTTTCTTTCTTCTTGACTAATTGCCCAGCTTTTCCACCGAAGTCGGTGGAAAGCTGGGTATATATATATATTTTTATAATATAATAATATTATATTATTTTAATTAATTGATTTCTTCTTTTTTTTTCTTTTTTTTTTTTTTAAACAGTATGTTACAATGTAAATAAGTTGACAGAAATAACTCGCCATATTTCATTTCTGAGAAATAATGTTAATACATTCGAACGATTTGAGGTTATACACAGGGCTAATAAATTGCGCACTTTCTTGCCTCTATCTATGCGAGGTCATAGAAGCACAAGCTGTAACTCCATTCTTCACTTTATATCTGGCAAGTTTACTCACAATTTGCCATCCAAGTTCACTTGCATGCGAGTTTTATCTTTGTCTGATCATTTCATCAAGCAGTTACCTGATTCAATAGGAAACCTCAAACATCTCCGTTATTTGGACTTATCAGGAACTAAAATAAGGAAACTGCCTGATTCAATATGTGAACTTCATCATTTGCAAACGCTAAAGTTGTGGCTTTGTCGTCTTTTCGAAAAGTTGCCCACGGATTTTCATAAACTCATGAATCTATGTCACCTTGATTTTCGTGAAACTCAAGTCAGAGAAATGCCAAGGCAATTGGATAAATTGAAAAATCTTCAAGTGTTGTCATCATTTATTATAGACAAATCTGGAGAGACCAGCATCAAATATTTAGAAGGACTTAATCTTCATGGATCATTTTCTATCTTGGGATTGCAGAATGTGGTTTCTTCCTCAGCTGCTTTAGCAGTCAATTTGAGAAGCAAGATTCACCTAAAGGAGTTAACATTAGAATGGTGCATAGACAACAAAAAATCACCACATGACAAGGATGTGCTGGAAAACTTCCAACCGCATGAAAATTTAAAAAAGCTATCAATTGGCAACTATGGTGGTATCGACTTTCCAAATTGGCTTGCAAATCCTTCATTGTCTAATTTAATGTCTCTGGAGCTAAGGCATTGCAAATACTGTATATCCTTGCCATCAATTGGCCTCTTTCCATCTCTCAAGTCGTTGTCAATTATAGGGTTTGATAATATAGTGGCTATCGGTCCAGAATTTTGTGGAAGTAGCTCTAATGCTTCATCCCTAGAAATCTTGAGGTTTGGAGATATGGAGAGCTGGGAGGAATGGAATTGTGAAATTTTGTCACTAACTTTTCCTCATCTTCAAGAGTTGAGTATAGTAAATTGTCCCAAATTGAAAGGGCAACTTCCTCAACAACTCCCTTCTCTAAAGATGCTAGTAACTTCCAACTGTGAGAAGCTCTTGTCTTCCATTCCACAGGATCCATCTCTAGATAAATTGATTCTAAGAAATTGTGGAAATGATCAGTTAGAAAGTCTTCCATCATCTTTAAAAGTCCTTAGCATTTCTGGAGGCTTCAAAAATTTATTATCAGTTGACAAAATTGAGAATGTCATTGCTAATTGTAACCTCAAAGAGTTGAAGTTTTCTGATTGTCCCCACCTAGAATTCCCACTAGGCTATTTTCATAACTTCATTCTTGAGATGGAGATAAGAGGGAGCTGTGACTCTCTCAAGTCTTTTCCTTTGGATTTCTTCCCGATGCTTCAATCATTGAAGTTGATTGACTGTAATAATCTTGAAACAATATCTATTTCAGAGGGGAACCATTTTTCTCTAGCAAATTTGTACATACGAAAGTGTGCTAGATTTGCACGTTTTCCTGAAGGAGGGTTTTCGGCCCCCAAACTAGTATTGTGTTGCATCGAAGAATTGAAGAATTTGAAATCATTGCCAGAGAAGATGCGCATTTTCTTTCCCTCCCTCATATATCTGGTAATAAGATGTTGCCCACAAGTGGAATCATTTTCAGAGGAAGGTTTCCCATCAAATCTCCAATATCTTGATGTCTTGGAATGCCCGAAACTTGTAGCCTCTCAAATGGGGTGGCGTCTGAGTAGCCTTACTTCGCTGCGTCACTTAGGGATTGGAGATGCAGATGACGAGTCTCTTCCTGATATTGGACTACTTCCGCCACTATTACTTGTCTTTCGTTCCATAACTGCCCAAATCTTAGATCATTGGAACACAAAGGTCTTTGCCACTTATCCTCTTTAGAAGGATTGGCATTTCGTGACTGCCCTAAACTCCAGCACTTTCCAAAGGAGGGTTTGCCCAATTCCCTTTGTATACTACAGATTATTGGTTGTCCCTTGCTAAAAAAGAAGATCCAAAAACAAAATGGAAAATATCAGGCAATTATTTCTCACATCCCTTTTAGTAGCATTGAAGATGATGGAATAGCATTGTTAGGCGAGCTTCTCACTCATGAAGGCATCAGTTTTCCCACTATCCATTCCGCATTCACTCGTTAGGTATATATTCACTCCTTTTTTAAAGTTTCAAGTAATGAACATAATTAGAAATTTCTCCCCATGTTATGCATAAACTAGAATATTTGATTAAATTTTAGATTTCAATAAATTATATTATCTTAGGGAGCTTAAGATTCACTTCTTATAGAAGTGTAATTTTTTTTATTCATTCAAATGAGATTTGCATTAGAAATTTGGAAATTAGGAGGAACATATAAAAATTTAAAATTAATTATTTTATTTCTTTAGTTAAGCCCCAATTGATGTACTATTTAATTATGATGTTCTTATTTAATTCAATATATTCAAATCCAAAGTAGGATATTATTTAAACTCAAAATTAATTATTAATTTCTTCATTTGAGCCTCCAATTGAAATCCCATTTAATAATGATGCTCCTCATTTAATTCAATATATCCAAATTCCAAGCAAAATATTATTCAAATTTTATTAATTAATTGAATATATTTGGATGTCACAATGTCATACCCGACCCGTTTTTAAATTTACTGGGTATTACAAGTTTTTAAGAATATAGTTGATAGTTGATAGTTGATGATAGTTGATTGATAGTTAATACTACCTCCGATCTTCAATTTAAGACCTCGTTTGATTTTTATTTTGGTCCCAAATATAAGGCCCCAATCCACTTTGTCTCTCATATTTATGCAATTTTTTCCTAGATAGTCCTTCTAATAATTGTAGTTTTAGTCAACACACTTGATTAGCAAGGATATTTTAGGAAAGACAACACCTATTTATTACAAATAACTAACTTAACTTATTTCTTTAATTTTCTCAAATTAGTCAACTAACTCTTATAATTAGGAGCGGAGGTAGTAGTTGATTTTCTTTCTTTTGCCATGTGTTTAAGATTGAAAGATTTGCTAGATTATATGAATTTCAAATCATAGAACCTCAGCTTTATTTGTTTGTTGCACAAGTGCTGTACATCATGGTGGTTCCTAGCTTTCAATAGTCATGCTTTTTTTATTGGAATTTTAAATCATAAATATATATCCTTATGTTTGCACTGATTTATTCATAGATTTTCTTGTTTATATGAAATTTTTATTTTTGTAGATATTAATGATAGCACAGCTGCATAACACAAACATAATTTCTTTAAGCAAGAAGCTCCTTTACACTTCAAATTCTAATTGGGAATCATGAGTATTATTTTGCTGTTACACTTCAAATTCTAATTAGGATTCATGAGTATTATTTTGTTGTTTGCTGTGTTGTTTTTACTTCAAATTGCTAAGCATGGCCACTGCCACGGCTATTCTTATTAGGTGTCTATTCTGTTTCTCTTCTTTTTTTTCTTTTGTCTTTTGTTTTTAAATTTTGAATGTTGAGTAATGGAAGAAGATCTCAGCTTGTTTTTGAAAGGTTCTTAAAAAAATGAGATTTGTCAAAGGAAATAACTATCAATATAAAATGCTTGTTTCTATTTTCAGTATGAAGCCTTTTTAGTAATTGAAGAGGAGAAAAGTGATTGCAAAGCGTTATTACTTTTATCGCCTGTCTTATAAAATAGGGCAAGGAGTATTTTCACTTCCTTTCCCCTTCATTTCCATCCACTTCTTATCTCAATTGTAAGATTAAAATTTCAATATTTTGATTTCACATTTATAAAATTATAAATAAACTGTTAAATTTTCAACAAATAAATAAAATAAAATAAAGCTAATAAATTTTAGCCAGAATAATTCAAAAAAATACTAAAAATTATTTTATAAAATTATTTTCTAAAAAATGAAATCTGGACTATTAAACTTTCAATCTTAATGGTTGAGATGGGAAGTGAATGAAAATGGAGAGAAAGGAAAGTGGAGAGACTCTTTACCCAACATTTTTGTGATGAATTAAAGATTCGTTTACATTAACTAATAGTAATATCAGATTAATTTGGTAGTTTATGGTTTAGTAGGTGAACCAACATGAAATTGATGAGCTGGACAAATGGACTACGTATTGACTATTTTTATATTTAAATCTACCGGAGGGGCGTCCATGTAATTAGTTTGGTCATGTGTGTGTGTTTGTATTCTGAAAGGTGAAAACCTAGCATCTAAACTGCGGCTACTTTATGTCAAATGATACTTACTGTGGCATTTCTATGGTCTATAGCGGCAGATTGACTTTTGCGATGAATGCAGATATGAATTTGATGCCAAAGTTGTCAGCAAAGTTGCGTGATACTCCTGTTAGGCCATGTTTTGCTGTAATGCTGGCATTTGCAGCCAGTATGATAGTAGCTATACACCTTTGAAGTTGTCATTAACAGTGAATGAAATCTGTTTGGGTTGTTTGATTTCCTTATTCACTGCATGATTTGTTTTGGCTTGGCCATTTTCTATTTCCTTCTGTATACGTGGCTTGCTATCAAAACTGAAAATTGAACTTGGTAGAGAAGATAGGAGGTGTCCGTCTAATTATTATAGTTAATCATACTAAAATAAAATGAGGGCTTGATTTAGTCTTTTGAATGTATACTTAAAGATAATCTTCTAAGAAATAAATTCAATTTGCAGTTCAAATTTTTCAGATACCCTCCAAAGGCTTCTTCATTAAGAATTCTGGCATTTTAAGGTGGGTTCATTGCGACAGCAATAAGCCAGGTCGTTCTACTCATAGATATTTGTTTAATCTTCTATCATTTTCCATTAATCTATCACTTATTGATTGCCAATGGCATGTTTACTTTACAGTGAAAGATGGGTTCTTCATTCAACAGAAGAGTATGCAGAGAACATAATTGCTCAAACTGGACTCAAGAAGCCATCAGACACAACACTGAAAAAAGTGGCTAATGAGCTTTTCTAAGAATTTCCAAGCACAAGAGTCGACATTTCTTAATCCCCTTTTAAGAAAGCCCACAGATGGTCAGTATCTAAATAGAGCCACAAGTGTACTGCTAATTCTTACAACTTGGACATATATGTCACATGTCCAATATTTGGTAGGCGTGGACTGGAGTGTCTTGAAAAAAGAATTGTGAAAAGGGTATGTTTGGATTGAGAAGAACGGGAGAGAATTTGATTTAAATATTTTCCCAACTTCAAATCTAACTCAAATCTTTCTTTCTGCTTTATTCTTCTTGACTCAAGCATGCCATTAAGTCATTTTTTCCCCTGTTTTATTTCAAATCTTTTAGCCATGCATTTTCTACTGTTTTTTATAATTCTTTTGGGTGACGCCAAAGGGATAAGTCCAATAAATAAACATGATACTATTAGTGTCGAAGCATAAGATTTTTCTTGCATGTCCCTGCATCCCAGATCTTTCAAAAAGTCATATTTACTTTTTAGTTATAAAAACAAAATATGTCACGAATCCATGAGTTCCATGCATTTTGAAATCCCAATGAAAAAAATCTTAAGGGCATTGTGCAAACAGAAACTGATTCACTTTTCTTTTCTCTGACAGGCTCTCATATTTTGTCCAGTGAACATAAGTGACTATTCTCCTCATATTGTCCAATTTCTAATGAAGGCCCCCTCCTTTCCCCTTAACATCAGGAGCAAGATAGCACATCCCTTGCTTAAAGATATATCATGATAGAGCAAGACAGCACTCCAACTGATCAGTGGTCATTCAGAAATACAACTCCCGTGAAATAGATTGCCAAGAAGATGATGTGCTTTCAATGCTGCTGAAAACCTATATTCTTTACATTCTAAGTTTCTATTGGTCTTGCAGTATATGTTCTTTTAAAAGATGAGTTTTTGAGTAGATACTGTAAGCAATAACTTCCCTTCTTTCGTGAGTAAAATTCTAGCTGTTTGGGATTGCATTAGGGTGTCAAGGCCTTCAATGGCATCGTTGCTGTAGATAGCTTACTGGTGTCATCGTTACGGATAGTAAAAACCTGATTGCCTTCTTCATTAAACTTTCAATTTGTGTCCAGATTTTTATGTGCTGTGTCATCTTCTTACTTCATCTGCTCTTCATCTTTAAGCACTTTTCTTGCATAAATCGTTTGCCGGAAGAACTCTATTTTAAAAATAATATTTTATTGATTCCAGCTTCGCTATGAAACTCTGTTACACATGAGATACTCAAAGCATTCAACTAAGTATATATATACTCGCAATTCTAGCAGAATTCAAGACTATAGTATTAATAATGAAGTGATTCATTCAAAGCAGAGTAATTAGTTGTTTAAAACGATTTAGCAACTCCTGTTATATATTATTTTTCATTTATAGCTTTGAGAAAATTCATTCAGAATTTGCCTAATTTCTCATTCATCTAAGTCAACCAGTGGGTACATGTCTATACTAGCATTTATTGATTCTGGTTTTCCACCATGACTCTGAGAATTACATTTTATTTGGGCATGAATTCCTCTTCTTATTAGAAGCACCCTCAAGCTTCCTTGGGAGCACGAATATTAGAAAAAGGCATAAAACAATGACTTGGCTGGTGATCCTAATACTGATTATGTTACCGTTGGTTTAAGCAAGATTTCGCAAGGCCTTGATGGATTTCATTCAAACAATACTCTAATCTTTACCATCAAAGAGATATAATCTAAGCCGTGGGAAGTGGAACAAGATGGTGGAGTTGTTAAAATTTGACAAGTTTAAAATGAAATAGCAGTTTTTATCACAACATATCAGATGGGGAATTCAATTGATTTTCTTTTTGTACAGTGGTAAAATCCTAATTTAAGGTGAATAAAGCTACAGATTTTGAGCCTATTTGGCTCTCCATAAGTTCTTATTTTCAACTGA